TCCAGCTCAAATCGCAATAGTCAAGTAATTAATGTACTAATGAATAATATATAAAAAAATTATAAAAAAATCACCCATTTTACCTTAAAATAATAGAAATTGAAATTATTGGTATGCAAACAAAAATGCTACCATTTCTTTGTTACCCATCCTTTCTTATACGTACTCCCAATCTTTCTTTCTTTTTTTATGTTTTTTGATATGCTCCAATCTTTTTTTATTGGGATTTACATTTATCATTTCACATGACACAAGAAAGTTTCTTATACATACAATATTTTGCGGGCCCCACACTTTTTGAAGCAAAAAAACAAAAACAAAAACTTCGGCACGTAAAACGAATTTCTATAACATTACACAATCACTTTTTTTACAACATAACTCTTATAAAACCTTTTTTTAATTATTATATGTTCTGTCCGGCTTCATAGCTTATTATTTGGTTTATTTTTTGATTATAAGTTTCTGTTTTTTTTTTTCATTGTCTTATTCATCATTCCGTTGGGTTGTGATTTTTTTTAAATAATATTTACAAGTTTGTAATTATTGAATGAGAAAATTTCAAAAATTCCCATATGATTTTGCCATGAATCACTTACAATATTCTTATATATATTTTTTAATCATTTACCCCCTATAGTTTCTTTCATCCAAACTCATCTTTAACACCATTAGAAATTAAGTTAATTTGTCTATTTTATCCTTCTTAGAATAAGAAAATATATTGAGAATAAAAAATAAAAAGAAAAAGAAAAATAAGACCAAATATGTTGAAAAATTATAACACTTATAGAAAATACTAAAAAAAGATCAAATATATCTAAATAAAAAAGAAAAAAATAGATTGGGAAAAAAAGACCAAATATATTAAAAACATACAACATTAATTGTTTAAAAAATAAAAATAATCTAAATAAAAAAGTTGAAGAAAAAATAAGATCAAATATGTTAAAAATTCGTAACACTGAATTCTTTTTCTTTTATTTATTTTTTCTTTCATTTCTTTTAACAGTAATAGAAAAGACTAAAATGCAGATAAACTAAGATGGAATATCAAAGGTTCTAATGGAATTTCGGTTAAGCACTTATATAGTGCTTTAACTAATCAGGTGGATGATGTTTGTTCTGAAAATGATAATTGGCAGATCATTTGGAAGTTAAATATCCCTAAACGGATCTGTGTTTTTCTTTGGAAGTTGGCTCACCAACGGCTGCCTATTAGAAGCATGCTGGCAAAATTTAATATGTCAGATCCTAGTTGTCCTCTTTGTCAAATTGAGGAAGAGACTATTATCCATATGGTTAGGGATTGTAATAAAATGAAGAGTTTATGGCTGCAATTAATTAACCCAAATATGTATATTGTGTTTTTTAATGCAGATTTACAAAGCTGGATATAGATGAATCTGAAGGATGCAAATTTGAAGCGATTAAATACCTCCTGGCCTATTGTGTTTGCTGTTACAGTTCATTATGCTTGGATTTGGAGAAATGAAGTGGTTCATGGTGCTGAGGACAACCATAAGGCTTACAGAATGCAGCTGATAGAACATAAAGTTATTGAAATATCCAATGCTTGATGCATAGTCTTGTTGGTAAAGTTAGGAAGAACCCGGTTTATATTCCTGTTGGGTGGCATCCTCCTGAAGTTGGTTGGGTTAAAATCAACACAGATGGGGCAGCTAAAATTTCTAGAGGAGATGCTGCTTGAGGGAGATTAGAGATGAAACTGGTACATGGCTTCAAGGATTTGCGTATCATATAGGGCACTGTTCAGCGTTGAAGCAGAGTTTTGGGGAATTCTCAAAGGTTTGGAATGGCTTGGAATGGGGGTTGAAGGCGTTGTCTGTTAGAAAGTGATCACTCTGCTCACCAAAAGTGGAGGAGCAGCTCGAGAGTCCTGACTGGTGGCTCATATTCGAGCATGGTTACAAAGGGATTGGGAGATTCATCTGGTTCATGTGCACAGGGAGAGTAATGCTTGTGCAGATGGGCTCTCCAAATATCCGTTGAATAATGGAGTAGATAATAAGTTTAGTACTTTTCATTCTCCTCCTCCTAGTATTCTGCCATTGTATTTGACTGATTTCTCTTTGGCTAGTAGTGTTTGTAGGGTGTTTCTGAATTGAGCTGTTTTTGGGGGTTGTTTTAACCCCTCCATGTTACCAAAAAAAGAAAGAATAAAATGTTTAAAAAATAAAGATTAGCAGGAAAAAAAGACCAAACATAGTTAAAAAAAAAAAATAGACTGAGCACAAAAAAATTAAAAGAAAAATATTAGTGATTTATTTTTTTCTATTTTTTTGTCTTGTTTTTGTTTTATTTCTTTTTTGTCCTCAATCTATTTTCTTTTCTTTTTATTTAGTCTATTTGTATTTTTCATGCTTTAATGTTTTTTTTTTTGGTAAATACTTTAATGTTTTTCTATCACTATCGTAAGTTTTCAATATATTTGATCTTACGTTTTCTTCTATGTATTTTTGTTCTTAATTTATTTATTTTTATTTAAATTCTTTTTTTATTATTATTTTACTTTTTGTCTTTTCTGTAAGTGTTTTTTAAGTTTTCAATATTTTTTGTCTTATTATTATTTATTTTTTTGTCATTAGTCTATTCTTTTCTTTTAAGAAGGGTAAAACGGATAAATTACTTACGTTTCTAATGGTGTTAGGGATAATTTGGATAGAAGAAATCATAAGAGGGTAAATGATTAAAAAAAAGCATATGGGTATAAGTGATTCAAAGCAAAAGCATAGGTAATTTTTGAACTTTTCCCTTATCAAATTTAGCTGGTCTGATCTGGAAAAAATTGTCATAATGTTAAATTTTTTATTCATTATAATCTTAATCAATAAATAAGAAGAAATGATAGATAGGTTAGGATGTGCATGGGTCGAACCGAATCAATTTTTTTGAAAAACTGATTCGAATTGGTTTAAATAGTTCAGTTCGGAAGTGGTTTGGTTCGGTGGAAAACATTTCGGTTCGGAACTGGTTCAGAAACGGTTCGGTTCGAAACCGATTCGGGTCGACCCTCTTTTGAAAAGAAAAAAATTAAAATTTTAAAAAATAAAGTTATAGAAATCAATTTGGTTCGGTTTAAAAACGGTTCGGTTCAGTTCGGTTCGAAAACGGTTTAGTTCAAAATAGTTTGGTTCTTAAACTGGTTCTAAAAATCGGTTCAGTTCATGAACTGATTCTTTAAAAATCGGTTCGGTTCATGAACTGATTTTTAAAAATCAGTTATTTTAAGGAGCAGTTCAGTTCATGATTCGGTTTAGTTTTTTGGTTATTTTGCACACCTCTATAGAAAGGTATGATGTTTGAGACTGTGCAATCATCGGAACTTCGGAAGCCCCTTGTCTTTACGAGGCTTGTATTGCTCTACTCTAGGTTTTCCGAAATACCTTAAATAAACAGAGAAAAAGGGTTAAGAATAAAAATAATAAAACCTACAATAGTAGGTAGAGTAAATGATGCATGGATACACCACTTCTGTAGAAGGAGCTAGCATATAAAATCCTACCCAGTTAAATGCATAATTCTATTTGGCATTTGAATTAAACCAATACTGAAAGCGTGATTATTATGCTAGAAATATAGAAATGGTAATAACAAAATTCTTTGAAATTATGAGTAACCGAATTATAAAATAATATTTGACTGATTGAAAATATCAGTTAGTAAATGCTCTTAGAGAATTGTTTTCTGCTTTTTAGCTTTTCTTTATGTATCAAAAAAAAAAATGCTCTTAGAGAACAAGAAGGCTGGAAGCTTTGGAAAAAATTAGTCATAACCATTCCTAAAATTAAACTGGTAACCAATATATGTCTCCAATTGAATGTTAATTTATTAATTTATCATCTCCCTTTGGTTGTCAATTTATTCTCTTTTATTGTGAGACTGTGACATATTTAATAATTAGTTCAACTTCTCAACTGGACTACTGGAGGGTCCCTCATTCATGTATTGTCTAATTTAGGTAGTTCGTTAGGTGAAGGGAACCCGATTTCTTTATGTCTTTCAAATCACATAAATTTTTACATAGACACTTGCATATTAGCATATATAATAAGTTAGCATCACAGTTTTCTCGTGTGTCTCCCTCAGGTGAATTCTCATAATTAACTTACTGCTAGTCTTTTCGAACCGTGTCTGTCAACTGCAACAATAAATTTCTAGCGGAAGAATTATGTGACTCAGAGACGAATTGATTCTCTAAGGTGAATCAGAAAATAGAACTGAACTTTGAAAGAGACCACATAAGTCACGTGAAATATATGTAATGGATTTGAAAGTAGTTACCATCACGTACGAGGAGTCCAAAAAAAAAGTGAATTGTATTTACAGAATTTGCTATATATTTATGGATTTTATTAGTGTTATGTTACATGATTTAAGTGTTGTTTCCAACACACACAAAAAAATGGAGAGAGAAAGTGGAATGATAAAAGAGAAAGAAAAACATGTGGACCCCACCTCTTTAATGTGTGTGTAGGAAAGTGATGTTATATCATGTTACATGATAAACATAAAACCCTATATTTATTTACACTTGTAATCAAACATTAAATATACACTTAACATTACCCGAAAAGATAAAAATTTAGCACACCTCGATTATAGATTTTCCTTTAAAAATAAGTATCTGAGTTTTTTTAACTTGGACAACTATTCAACAACTCCCTAAAAAACAATATCTAGATAATCACTTCCTTTGTAACCCACAGCTATACCAACAACTGGGACATGCAGATTTTCTCATCGCCGCCACCAGGATGTCTTGAGAGAGTAGACAATAGGGGAGTAGCATTCCACAGAGGCCAGAACTGTAGCTTGTTAGTTTCCTTCCTTTTTATTCCAAAATAAATAAATAATAATAATCACTTCCATTTTTTTTATTAGTTGATTACTTTTTACTGTCAATCCCACATTTGATTTTTTTTTTTTAAACCATCAATACACTAATTGAAGAGATCTTGCTCAGAATAAACTCCGAAATTTTGCATTAAAAATGAATATTTATATATACAAGACAAAGGAAGAAATAATTAATTAGAATATATTTGAATATACAACAAGGTAAATAATAATCTGAATGAGCTCCTCTGATAAAACCTTTCTAATCAGTGTAATCTAAAATTTTCCCTGACAAGAGAAGGTTTTAATAGCCTGCCTGGAATGAGAGGATCCTACAACAATTTTACCTTTGCCAGCAACAATTACCCGCACTAAACAAGTGCTAGGAATCTTGTTAAAGCTCCTTTCCACCACTCGTCTTTAAATTCAACATATATGTTGGTTAGTAGAAATTCTAACACAAATTAGCATTTACTTTGACACCACTAGTTGAGGAAGTAAGCTTTTAGAGAAGACTCTACCAATAGTAAGCTTGAAAGACTTTTGGACTCGCAGAAAATTGGCGATTCAGGCTTATTTTGATGCTGGCAGCAAGAACCTTGATCTATATGAATTGAAGTTTGGACTAGGTCTTTATAGAAGCAACTCCAGTGTCGACATTATTTCGCAAGAAACTGCACAGTTTGAGCTAAACCCAATTTGGGATCCCATAATGCAATACTTGTACTTCAATCTGTGTATCTTTACTGAAGATAACATAAGCTGGCAACTATTATTGAGAATGTATGGATATGATGATACATGCTTTACAACTTATAATCAGACAACAGAAAAACTAGCAAAGGACATCAAAGTTCAGATTTGATCAAACTCAAAGTCCAAGATTTCATCCATGGGAACTCCAAATGTTGATCGAACATATACAATCTATCTTCAAAAGGGATGTCATTTCAGGCGACAAGGTCAACTTCATCTCGATCAGGGGAAACCACATCTAATCTCATCATGCTTGTATAATGATCAGGAACGGGAGCCCCAGCATGCACACAGAGTTCCACCACAGCTGGTGCCTTGCCATAATATCTCTTCAGATTGTTATTCAGAGCAGGCCCATTCAGATCCTCAACATGCCAAACATAATTTGGACCCACAACATCATCTATTGTTGCCTCTTGCCATGCATGTAAACCATTCCGAGACTGGTGCTTTGAAGCCTTGCACATTCTCAACTTGTGTCCCTTGGGACCGACCTGGACCTCAGGACAATATCCACAAGTATTCACAACATACTTCTCCATGATCTTCTTTGCACCTGATGTCATCTCAAACCATGAGTCCAGTGTCTGTTTACTTAAATCCCTTAAGTTGCTCCTTTCTTCACCACTCAACTGATCCAGATGGCTGTTGTGCTCCACTAAATTCCGGACCTTCTCTAAAGGCTTGGTCAACATAGAGGATGAACCCACAAAAAGTTTGACATCATCTAAGGAACATTTTCTTTTAGTCTCATCCTCCCCGACCCCAACTAGTTTGGGGTAAAGGTGATGTTGTTGTTCATCCTCCTTCACAACGGATTCAAAATCTACAATTCTTCCTTCGATACAATATACAGGTTTTGTTCTCCTTCTAGTGGGATGCTTTTCAAGGTCTAGACCCGCTTGTATACAGAGTTCAACAATGGCAGGGATACGAGGAACACTGAACCTCTCATCATGTCCTACTCTTGGCTTACCAACACGGTCAAAAAGATGAAAGCATTTTGGGAAGAAGACCACATCTCGAACCCCTCCCCTTCTCCAAACATGGGTTGCATTCCGGGAATAACTCTTTGGTCCATTACATGTTCGAATTTCATGACCAACATAACCAATGTGAACCTCATTACAGAGCCTGATAATGTGAAACCAACAAGTACAAGCCAACGCAACTTAGAAATTGGTTCCAAACTCAAAATATATCAACTACAAGTTCTATTCTTCATATATCAACTTATGATACTTCAAAAGAAACAATGATTTTGTTGTTTTCACCCTTTCCTTATCATATTCTAAAAAACAGTAAACAAAGTGACATTTTTGTAATTATTAGTGAAACAATATCAATTATTCTACCAAATAAACATATCAATTAAAAGTGAAAACCGAAAAACAATTAAGTGCATACTCGCAGCGCAGGACGGGAATGACTCGGACGAGTTGACTCAGACCGGAGAGGAGAGACCTGCGAGCTTGATAGACACGATGAGCCACCTCCACCAGTTCTGGAACCAATAACCCGTTCTCCGGAGCTTCTTCCAAAACCCTACAAGGATCTTTCTTTCGCGCTTCTCTCTCCTTCTTCGCCCTCTCAATCAGAACCTTCATCGGCGTCACATACGCCTTCCTCTCCGACTTTCTCCGCAGAGGCTTCGGAACGTCGGAGTATGAGACTAGCTCGTCGGGATCGTCCACGGATGCCGCCGCCGGCCATGTCTCCGACGCGAAGGAGAGATTTGCGTTCAAGCGGTAAGACAGTCGCTTCAGAAGAGAAAGCTCCGAAAAGATGACGGTGGCACGCATGTCCCCGCCGTCGTGCAGGTAAATGGTGCTGTTACCGGAACGGGGATGGATGCGCCGGAGCTCCGGTGTCGATTCCGAGAACCCTGAGATTCCTGACCCGACCGGGGGCTATAGATTCATAGGGGTAAAGCTGAGCCCATACCCAAGCTTGCTCAATGGCCCAACGAGACGCAGTTTTTTGGGCTTTCTCAATTTAAATTGGGCCCAATGTTGAAGTTCTTGCTGGACCAAAGACAAAGTTACAAGAAAGAATGTTTGATGTGGATGCCGGTTTTTTTTTTTTTTTTTAACAATTATTATAAGGGAAAAACTAATATTATGTTGTAAGAAAGTTCTTAGGTCATGTCATAGAGACAAGAGATTGTGGGGTCCACTATTTTTAAAATAAAAAAAAAAAAGTAAAAGAATTGATGGGCCCACTTTTATGTTTGTGTAGGAAGATTGCTTGTGTCATGTAAAAGGAGGAAAACATTACCCTTATTATAATTAAACTTTTATCAGTACGTTAGTGATGTTACTTTAAAAAATAAGAGTAAATATCTTTTTCGGTTCTCAACAAATATCACGATGCCCGCTAAAGTCTCTAGCAAATAAAAAAGCTATTTGTGATCTTTACGAAATTCAAAATGGACCCATTTTAGTTATTTTGAGGACTAATATGGGTCTTTTTTGAATTTGTGAGGGACCACTGTTTTAACTAAATGGATCCATTTTGAATTTTTTAGGGACCATAAATAGCCTTTTTTATTTGCTAAAGACTAAAGCAAACATCGTGATGTGTTTGCTTTTATGTGCTAAACTTTTCAATCTTATAAGTTGTTTAACTAGTTTCTATTCTCTAAACTCCTTCGACCTATTAGAAGGATCCGTTAGAGCTTTCTTAATGTTTGGTCAATTTACCGTAAGAAATGGAAGGGGTGATCCCTTATAATGGTGGGATTTTTCTATTTTGCAATTTTAAGACTTTTTGTTGTTGTTCATTTCCATGAATTGTCCTTTCTTTCCGTGTATAGGGTAAGGCTAAATTCTTTCTTGTCTATGTACAAGTGTTTGACAAGATTATTGAAAAAATATATAATTAAAATTTTGATGAAAGAGTTTTTGTTTTAAAAATGTATTTTTTAAGATAATTAAAACCAAAGATGTTATAAGTGATAGGTTACTAGAATGATAGTTTTTCCCACCTTATTTGTCTAATTCCTTACAAAACAATTTGTCATCAATGACTTTGGCCTTCAAAAACATCTAAGACAATTAAGTGGTCTAAATTAAAAAAAAAAAAAAAGATCGGGTCAAACTATTCGCCCTTTTTACCCGTGATAATTGAATAACATTAAAATTTAAGGATCCTTTTTTAGTGGGCAATCATCTCAAATTGGTGAATTGTACAATGTTTGAAATGAAAAGACTCTCCTACCTCAGACTTTTTTAGAAGAAAAATAAAATTAAATAAGGGTTTAGTTAACTTCCAAAAGATAATATAACAAATCAGGATCCCTTCTATTTAGCTTGTTTATTTAACAAAATAAGTACAACTTCAGTCTAGTTTTAAGGAATCTATAACAACTATATTTTCTCCAGTAAAAACCAGAGCTTTTTTCTATTTTTTATACTTTGGTTTCAAAGATATAACTCATTTAAGTTCCCATCAACCACTCTAATAAATTCTCTATTCAACTGTACACAATTATTGAAGAAAATAATACTAAGTCGTTTCCTTTTTTTTTTTTTGAAACTGCTCCTAATTACTTTTTTGATACGAATAAGAACACTTCGGTATTCTTACAGGTTCAACTCTTTAATCCGTCTATGGGACTAATTCATAGTTCAGATACGAGTCTAAGAATTACGGTACTTATGTCCCTCCCCTACTCAGTCGTTTCCTTGCATTACATAAACGGAAACACAAAAAGAAAAACTTCTTTCCTTTTTTTTTTTTTAACAAAATTTAAGCATTGCATAAGAAAATGATATAATAATTACTCTTATATACAACAAAAGGGTCACCACGTCAGCTAACTGGGGTAAATGCAGAAGTTATGATCCAATATTCTCTCACTTCACAGGAAGATGATTACAGAAGAGAGAAAAAAAGTGAATTTATAACTAGTGAATCTTATAGTTACACAGTTATTATCATCGGTATCAAATAATCGTTCAAAACAGTTAGATGAATCAATTTTTGAAGGGGTAGGATATTGTGGATTAGAATTACTACTAATTAATTTCACCGTTAGATTAATTATGTTGATCCAACGGTTATATTTATTTTCATCTTTTGTATGGTTATAATTTCTCATATTTAATTTAAAAGCATTAAATAAGAGAAATCATAACCATACAAAGGTGAAAATAAATATAAAGTATTAAATATAAAAAATCATAATCATACAAAGATGAAAATAAATATAATCGTTGGATCAACATAATCAATCTACCGGTGAAATTGATTAGTAGTAACATTGATAGTAACACTAATTGGTTGTTATACTATCCTTCCTTATTTTTGAATTAAATAAAGGATTTGCTTTTTCCTGCAGATAAATCATTTGCAGAAGCCTAATACGATGCCATTTTGGAGTAAAAATTATAGTATTTTTGTAATTTTAATTTTTTTCAGAGTTATTATAATTTTTATAATTATAATTATTTAATTTTTTTTAATTCCAAAATAACGTGTTTTTGGGAATAAATGCATTATCTGCACGCAGAAATATTATTCTGTTAAATAAAACTAATTTGGACGGTTATTTATTCTCTAATTAGTAAAAGGCAAATACTGAAAAGTACCAACTCTTCTTGGCATTCTGTTGCTAAATTTGTTCCCACCCACTCTTACGTTTCTCTCTATCATCTTCTGACTTTCTGGTTAGTTCTGAATATTCTGATAATGCTCTTAGTAAGTTCTTCATCCATCTCCGTCTCGCTCTCAGGTAGAGCAAAGCTTCTACCTTCTCTGTCTTCCTCTGCACACATTTCCAACTCTGTGAAGGGTTCTTCTGCTTTGAGATTCTCCAAGAGAAATGTGGGTAGTGGGGTGGTGGTTCAGGCCTCCGAGGAGCATAACAATCGACCCGTTTTGGATATAGCGTTTGAACCTTTCGAGGAAGTGAAAAAGGAGCTTCTTGTTATCCCCACCATGCCCCATGAATCACTGGCTCGCCAAATGTACACTGACCAGTGTGAGGCTGCACTCAACACACAGATCAAGTCAGCTTCAAGTTCTTCTTTTCTACGCTATTTGTTAATCTTTTTCTCATTCCTCGTATGAACATTCGACATGGAATCTTGATTTTCATACGCACTGGCACTGCTATGAGGGTGGCATTGATTATTAATTATGATCTATCAAAAATATGTGGTGCCTGATAAATAATAAAGTTTTAATTTTTTTAATAAAAAAAAGAATTTTCGTTTGTTGGCATATAACTTATCGTGGTAGTGAATCTTTTGGTGATGATTCATGATAGAAACTCAGGGTTATGAGATTTTGGTTTTCAGCTGAAGTTAGAAAGGCTACAGGTTCTTTCTATTGTGTGTGTCAGTGTGTCTGTGTGTTAATTTGAGAAAAAAAAGTGTTAAATTGTTTTATGTATATGCAAATATCTCGTGTAATTCTTTATTTTTCTCTTGATTCAGCGTGGAATACAATATCTCCTTTGTGTATCATGCAATGTCTGCCTACTTTGACAGAGACAATGTTGCTCTGAAGGGATTGGCCAAGTATTAACCTCGAAAATCCCAGGTTCTTTTCTAATTTGGATTTTATTATAATCTGACTGTTCGTAAATTACATACAATTTGCAGATTTTTCAAGGAATCGAGCTTGGAGGAAAGACAGCATGCTGAGAAAATGATGGAATATCAGGTATTTTGCTGCATTCTTTGCTAATATATTTCTAGCATTCTTTTTGTTCATTTTTTTCCGGATGATTACCAGAACAGAAGAGGGGGAAGGGTTCAGCTGCAGTCAATGCTGAGGCCGTTTTCTGAGTTTGATCATGAAGAAAAGAGTGACGCATTAAATGGTAAGTTGTGTATGTGATTTCTTTTAATGTATGTAATAAATATTGGAAATTTTAAATCTAATTTCTTTCTAGCTCTTAGTGTTTTATAGTTTATGTTCGATACCCGTGAGTTTTCCATCATTATGAGAACTATGCATGAGGCAACCTTGATTAGTGTTGGTTTGTTCTATTATTTGTGAATGGGTTGTTTCTCTAATTCTACTTGCAACTTTTGTTTCGCCCTATCTCGCAGCAATGGAACTTGCATTGTCTCTGGAAAGGTTGAACAATGAGAAGCTTCTAAATTTACACAGCGTAGGTCACTTCTTGAGTTATACTTTTCTCCTTATTTTTGTAAAACCTTTTATCACTCCTTATTTTTGTTAAATGCCAATAACTAGCTTTTTTATGACTAATGCAGTTAGGAAATCAAAACAATGATGTGCAACTTGTCGACTTTATTGAAAGCGACTTTTTGGTCGGTCAGGTAAAGTAACTTCTAGTGTGATTCTTTCTATTGCTGACAGGACAGGAAAAATTAAATAAAGCAGAATAAAAATTTTGTTCTCATCAATTTGTTTTATGCTTCAGGTGGAAGACATTAAAAAGATCTCAGAATATGTGGCTCAGTTAAGAAGGGTGGGCAAAGGACATGGTAATTTGTTACTTGCGCCTTATAAACAAAACGATTGGCTCATTATTTCATATACTTGGCGTGGTGAAATTAAAATTATTTACTGGTGAAATTGCAGGAGTTTGGCACTTTGATCAAATGCTACTTATCGGAGGTGTGGCTGCATGATAGTTATCTACGAAATTGCCTACAAGCATCTAAGAAAAAAATTATGCCTCTGAACTCAATACATATCTTCATTAATCCCCTCTCTTTCCTACCCATTCTCTTTTCCTTTTCCTAGGCTTCTTCATGATTTGCCGTGGATGTTTTTAATTTGAAGTATTAGTCTAGTCAGAGTAGTTAGGTTGATGTTAGTTTGCAAACTAAGTTGACCATGAATCTTAGCAAATTTGAGGCTTGTGCTTGTGCATAAATGTGTTTAATCATTTTAACAAAGAGGCTACGATAAAAAAACATGGTATACCAATGCCAAATACTCTTGAACGCAATCTTATTACTAGCATAAATATGTAGGGAATCCAAGTAGTGGCTGCTATTATTACAACCATCATGCCAAGGAAGCCATTTCTTCCTTACATCTCAACCTTATCTATGGGCACTGGGCAGCGAGACCAATGGTTTTAAGCCTTGCCCAATTTGGAAAACCTAAACTAATTACCAACAGCATCATGGACGTGGATGGTGTGAAAGCTACACAAATGTCCATATGCTTTTCTTCCTCTGTTCCTCCCACCAGTCACCACTCAACCTTTGCTTCATCATCTGTTATGGAACGAAGGCGAAAACGACCTTGGCATCATTGAGGAATCGGAAGTTCCGCAATTGTTTTAGATTTTAGAAATAGATACAACATCTAAATTACATAGTATCAATTTTTAGCAATGTCACGTTATCATCTCTACCAAAAATCACGGATATACATACAGGAAATTGGTAGCTAACAAGTAAATGAAATACGAATTCAATTGAAAATTTAAAGCTTTAACTTTAAGTTGTTAATTGAGGTTATATTAGTCATTTTTATATTATATTTTTTTAATATGAATTGATATTTTTTATATTAATTATTTTGTAATAGAATGAAGGCGGTGGAAATAAAAATATCAATTCAATCAAAAACTTAAGGAATTAAGCCATATTATGTTAATAATTTTTTGGGGTTTTAGTTTGTCTTTAATATGACAAGAAAAAAATTTCTACAAACACAACATTTTGTGGAGTCCACACTTTATAAAGTAACAAAAAAAAAAAAACTAATGCACGCAAAATGAATCTCTATAACATTACACATCAATCTTCCTACAACATAATTCTTATAAAACTCTAATTTTTTTGTTATATTTCTGTAATAAAGTTATAGTTATACCCATCAATCCTGCAGCGTACTTCTGATAAGTTCTAACTTTTCCATCAACCAAAACATGTTGTTGCATGAGAATGGAAACGAGGCTATTTGAACCAAGGGGGGTGTAGTTATCCCTTTAATTTTCCTGTGTTTTATTCCCAATGGGGTCATTTAAGAAGCGTTTGGTATACGAGAAATTTTTTTATCGGATAATATAGTAAAAAATTTATTTTTCCTGAAATGTTACTAAAAAATTGTTTGGTAGATCCATATTTTTTCAGAAATATTTGATTAATTCTACTGATTTTATATTTGGTTGATTGTAAAATATTAGTGGGAACGTGCACCTTTTACTTTTCCATTTAAAAATTATAATAACATTACTGAGAGAAGAAACAGATCTTGTACTTGTGTGAGCCACAGTCATTGGAAAAAAAAATTGTACATATCAAGCGGTTAAGTGCTCCGTAATCAAATTTCGAAGGAGTGGTATTTCAGAGGGTCACGTATGCTGGTTTTTAGCGGTTCATCAATTAGAAGAATTAACCACAGGAGATATTAGTAATATACAATTTTCGAATGTGTTATCCACATTACACACAATCAAATTTCTTAGTATAAAATGAGATTGTAACCTTCAACTTGAAATCCTACTTCTGTTCTCCCTTTTCCTTCCATAAAATGGGGTTTTATTATCCCTGCGGAACTTTCTGGAACGAAGACAAATGAGGATAACCAATGTTACCTCCGAGTTTTGACGGTAGAGTACATCGTCTTCCTCAGATTCGACAAGATAGACGGAGGGAGCAGCTAATGTAATTTGGTACCGGATATTGGCCAACACAATACTTCACAGATCATACAAACCACAGGGTTAATTTAGTCCACCTAATCGTTGTTTATTTTTCACTTTCCTGGGCAAGCAAGAAATCCAACTAAGCTATGATATTTCAACGATGGTATCTGTACAGAACTTTGCACACAATTGCAAAATCCAGGAAAACAAATATGTGGGAAACTTTTCTCTTTTTTGCAACCAATCGTGATATTTGAATTTTCCGTAGCATGGTTTCCCAGGAATTGATAAATAATCCTAGTAACAAACACTAAATAATCATACAAACCACAGGGTTAATTTAGTCTTATTATCGTAAAATTTTGAAAGACCGTAATTTTTGACTCGGGAATTCAAATTAGATATTTTTTTATTTCATGTAACTTTTCGATATCTATACAATGAAACCTCATTTAACATATTTTATTTTCCATAAACATAGTTCAAATTTGCAACAGTAGTTCCACAATCACATAACCCTTGATTTGTTTAGCTTCCTCGATTTTTTAATCAGTTTTGTTGAGATTTTAATTAATTAAATTTATTTCTGTTAGAGTTACAACAATACATGTGCGAGACAATAGTTAATTTCAAAATTTGTTTTTGCGAAAAAAAAAATGAAGAAAAATTGGGAACAAAAATGGAGAACCCTAATAGTAGGGAAAGAAAGAACAAAGCAGAGATAGATGATAACACGTGACCATGTTTGATGCCTTTGAAGTTATGTTTGTGGTACTATTATTACAAATTCGAGTTATATTTGCGAGAGGTAAAATTTGTCAAATGAGATGTCATTGCAGAGATGATAACAGGGAAGTTATCTATCAGTGAATAAAAACAGAAAAAAGGATAAGGATCTCAATTCGAGGAGAGATTGCGCCTCCTAAACCAGGATTTCTGGAATGAACAATTTCTTATTTTTCTTGTGGTAAGATACATAGGTATTTATAACCCTACTCTCTCACCAATAACAGAAAACAAAGGCATGCACCAGCATCTACACGCTTGGCATGACTTATGCCTGCTAACAGAATGAAAAACAGAATGGAAATACACTCTCCCCCATTCAATTAACTACAGACAAAAACAAATAGTCACTCCTCTCAACCAAGTATACTATGCAGTAAAATCCCTCATCCACTTGGGCTTGACCTTGCTCCTCTTAGACATCCTGACCTTTGTATTGGGCTGATACTCTTCTATGTTATCATCCATTTCCCCTTCTGAGTTTATTGGACTATTGTCAAGTACTGGGCCTACCAAGGAAAATCCATTCTTATCATCCCCTTCTCCTTTTGCAAACACCTTGTCCTCAAGGTGCAAGGAAGGATAAGCTGTCAGAATTTCATCTCGCAACTCCCAAGTTGAGTCTTCAGGATACATGCCTTCCCACTGAATCAATAATCGTGGACGACCCGTAGCTGAGTCCGTGGCAGCATCCAACACAGCTAGTGGTTGGATTAATGGTTGATTCAAACGTGCAGCAGTGGGCAAAGCAAGAGGTTTGATATGAAGGTCCTGATGGAATGGTTTGAGCAGTGAAGCATGAAACACCGGATGTATCTTGGAATCATATGGAAGTTCCAATTCAAAAGCAACACTGCCTATGCACTTGATGATTTTAAAAGGTCTGTAGTACCTTTTGGCCAACTTGTGACTTGTGCGATTAGCAAGAGAATGCTGCTTGTAGGGTCGAAGCCGTACCAGCACCAAATCACCTAAGTTGAAAATATGATCCTGCCGATGTTTATCCGCGGCCTCCTTCATAGCAGCTTGAGCCTTTGTCAGTTTGGATTTCAGCTGAGTGAGAACGTCCTCCCTGTTACAAAGTTCTGAGTCAACAGCTTCCACAGAGCTGGACCCTGCAACATATTGTGGTAGTGAAGGTGGTTCACGGCCAAACACAATTTGAAAAGGTGTAAAACCCGTAGAGGAATGAACAGAAGTGTTATAACAATACTCAGCCCAATGTAAAAATTTTCCCCACGCCTTAGGGTGCTCATGAACATAAGCACGCAAGTATTGTTGCAATACGCGGTTGAGTACCTCAGTTTGACCATCACTTTGTGGGTGATAAGCGGATGACATTCGAAGCTTCGTGCCACTGAGTTTAAATAGTTCTTGCCAGAACCTACTCATGAATATAGGGTCCCTATCAGAAATTATGCTCTTTGGCATTCCATGAAGACGACAAATCATTTGACAAAAGAGCTCTGCCACCTTTACAACTGTGAATTGAGTAGGGAGCATCCCAAAATGACCAGCCTTTGACAATCGGTCAACAACCACAAAAATAACAGTATGATTTTGGAAGGAAGGCAGCCCTACTATAAAATCCATAGTTATGTCTTCCCAAACTGCCTTAGGTATCGGAATTGGCTGAAGCAGCCCTGTTGGCCGAGTGGTGGGAGTCTTAATTTGTTGACAAGTGAGGCACTGCTGTATAAATTTTGTGACATCACCTTGCATGCCATGCCAGAAAAAATTTGCTCCTACTCTAGCATAAGTTTTCTTTATGCCCATGTGACCACCACTAGGTGATGAGTGGAACTCTTCGAGAAACAGCTGTTTGAGTGTTGAATTTCGTGGGACAAAAATTCTGCCTTTGAAAATAGCAAGCCTTGCACCAAAGAAAAATCAGGATGAGATTTCGGATCCAGCTCTAAGTCTTGCGGTAATTTCTGGACCTCAGAGTCAGAGTCATACTCCCTTTTGATTTTGAACAACACATCAAATTGTGGTACCGTCAAGGCAAAAATTTGGGAATTGGAATCATGCCTGTGAGACAAAGCATCTGCTACCTGATTTTCAGCACCAAGTTTATAAGTGATGTCATAATCATATCCCAGTAGCTTGGAAAGATAAAACTGCTGGTCAGGAGTTTGAATCGTCTGAGACATAAGCTCCTTTAGACTGCGTTGGTCAGTATGAATGGTAAATTTCCTCCCTAACAAATAATGGCGCCATTTCTTAATCGATTCCACT